CCTGGGGATTTGGCAGTCCGCGTGTATGCACGCTCTGCAACCGTCTTCGATTCCATCCATTAGCCACTCATAGGGAGCTATTTGACTAAGTGCATTGTTTAAGATTTAAAAAAGTAAAGAATATTTTATATTTTTATGTACGTTTCTTTACAAAGCTATATTTAATTATAATTTTCTGTAAAAGTATATTCATACAATTGAAGAATATTTTGTACCAGGTATGTACCGGTACATCCACCACACATTTTATTTCACCGAGTAAATTTTTATTATTTTACTGTATTTCTAATTGTAGCCCTTATATCGTGCTAGCGATTCGGAATGTAATTGTGATATTAAAAATGCATTTAGAGAAGTCTACGGTTTTTACTGGCTTATCGAATAAACGATACGAATGGGCCCTAGACCATCACTGACGCGTAATTGACTGATTGCCCCTGGATGTCGGCTTCTTACAGAAACACAGATTCCCTATCATCAAATGTCAAGGCATGCCACTGCGTCTCCGCCCTATTGGCACTAACTTGTAAGAGGGCCTCTTTTAGCAAGCCCATTATGGGTTCGGCCCGTTGGTGAAAAACGGGGCCCTGACATATCTGCATGGACAACCTCCAGAAAAAATTTCAGTGGATTTTATTGGCCCGTCCGGATTTGAACCCAAGTCCTTCAGAGCGGTAGACTGCATCCGGACGTCTACCTATGTGGGTATTACCTTATTTGGGACGTACTGTGCCATTTATGACAATAAATCGAAAAGCACATATGAAAACACAATTAAATTTGAAGTAAACTGTTAAAAGTTAATCATTAATGAACAAGGATTTAATTCAAGTCTATCTGAGGATCACAGATTGAGAAACGCTGTCCTATAACAATATAGAAATGGAGATAATTCATTATTTGTTATAATTCTTTTAATATAAACATTTTGCAAACAATTTCACAAAAACAATTATTGCAAACATTTTGCAAGCTTAAAAGAAATATTGGTTAAAGAGTTTTTATTAATGATACAGTATTCATATTCAAAAGATATCGCATATATAAAAATTAAATTAATAAAATTATTAGTAGAATGAATTGGATTGAAAGTAATAGATTAAAGGTGGAAAAAAATAATAATGATTTTTGATTTTGATTGCATCTCTTCGCAAATGTCATTACTCAAGGCAGCATCCAGAATTTACTTTTTAAGCCTCATTTATTTACTTATTTATTTTTTTAATGTTTAAACGTTTGACTCTCTGCCCTGTGGACAGTAAGAGAGTCTTTTTCCATACCCATAATGAGTTCTCCATACTCACAATGAGACGGCTGGCTGTTGAGACTTAACCAAATGTATCCAGGATAGACCATCCACGAAATATTCCCGGACAGTTGTGCTCCCAGATTCTATTCTGGGTCCTAAGGAGCAGTTAACCGGCTCGACCATCTAACTGTCAAAAAGTCATGTACCTGTTTTTTGACAATATTTATAAGCGAATTTTTGATAACCGATAAACAAAAGTATTGTAATGTAATTTAATTTATAATTTTATAGGTTTTGGGATATGTTGATTCTGATAATATTTACAATTTCCTTAAGTGGCATTACGATACGTATTTTATAGTCTCAAATGCAAATAAAATTGAAAATGCATTGTTACACTCATACATGCGACCTCACAATTCTGAACTTCTGCCTTTGAACTAACGGCAACTCTATGACAGTTTTATATACCATGCTGCTGTTTGTGCTTGCATCATCATACATTCCTGTTCCTGACGGATCATTAGGAATGTATGATGATGCATGACTGTTCCTGGATTCCCATCTTTCACGGGAACGAAGGCGCTTTAAGTGACGAACACGGCGAAAGATTCCATTAGGAATTAGAAAGCCATTATCAAGGCAGATTGAAGTTTAAGTATGCTGACTGACTAATGTTGGACTCGTGTTGGACTAATGCCTAGCCGAACTCATAATGTTCTTGCTAAATAAAAGCCCATAGAATGCTGAGAGGTTTTAAAGAAAGGCTAATAAATAGGTTTATAATAACGAATTCGTACGTATATAATACAACTTTTGTTAAATCCGGGGTAACAAGAAGATAAAACACACAGGAATGAATCCAAGTAGCCTTTATTTCGTCGATAGCACGAGCATACAACAACGGGTCAGACTAACCGAAAAGGGTACCAAAAATGTTTTCCAATCACATTTTATCTTTTAACGCCCTTGGCCGCGACATATACTTTTAGCCGATACACTACAACTTTTTTCAGTGTTTCACGTAGACAATGTCGCGACCCCCCTTCTCATCGCATACAACGATGTACTTTTCAAACTCCTCCACGTATACGTAATTAATGACGTGCCTTATCAAAATCATTTTTTGAAAAAAAAAGATAACTTTTATATATCAACAAATATTAATTATGGTCATATAATTATAATGTAACATATATTATTTTATCTTAGGTACAGAAGAAAATTTAAAACGTTAGCAATTTCAACATCTCGGTATCAGTTTTCAAAATCAAATCACGTGACATCCACATCCATATCCGGCGAGAAATTGGAAACGATTCAATATGTTCTGATCGCGTAACGCAACGTGGTATGTCTTTCTTCTTCCCGCGATCGATTTCAGTTATGTGGGTTACGACGCTAGGAATTGTAATACACATAATATTTTTATCATCTGTATTCGATATATATTTTAAATCACCAATTATTCATGGATTGAGCCCTCATTACATACCATTGCCTCCTCCCGCGAAAAGAGTTGTTTTGTTTGTTGCTGATGGACTGAGAGCAGACAAATTGCTAGAACTTAATGAGAAAGAAGAAAGCAGAGCACCTTATTTGAGGTAAAATTATGGTATTTTCAATGTCTTGCAATGAAAATAATAGCAAATAACGTTATTTATAATGTGTTTTTTTTTATAGTTTGCTTAGTAATGCTAACATAACTAATATCCTTTGACAAATTATAAATTAAGCAAATTCATAATTAGATACTAATTATTCTGAACAAATTATATTTTATGTTAACCATAAATAAAGTTTGTATAACAGAAAATACATTGTCTCTCATAAAACAAATAAAATGATCATTTGTAAGGTGATGCTTCTATATAAAATACATTTGTTATATAAAATGTTTATTTTTAATTTTAAAGATAGATTAATTTTCTGTATTTGTTATAATGTACAAAAAATGTAAAAAAATAGAAATAATCTGTTTTTCTTCTTTTTTCTGTGTATTTCATATAGTAGTACAGTACAATAGCATGAAATTAAATGTCTTTGTTATATAATACATAATAAAGATATGTTAAAGATGGAATAGGATGAAAGTATTGTTCATAGTAAAAAATTTCCTGGAATCTGAGATCTAATGAGACATAGCAATTTTTCTGATCTCTGTCATGTCAAGTAAAATTGGTTATTTAGTTGTTTAATCATGTGTTGACATGTTAATGATTTAACTATTTCTCATGTTTTGTTAAAAAATATGAATTTTTAAAAATAATATCAGATAAAATTATTGTTTAAAATTAACAAATTTTTTTACATATTAATACATTTTTACTGAAGTTTTAGAGAAATTTTTGAAATATATAGGTTATATTCAAGTTTGTTTGCAATTTTTTTAATTGTGTAGTCACATTACTGGTATTTATTAATTACAGCAATTTCATAATTATATAATTAAAGTAAAATCTCACTATAAGGAGTATTTATTTATTTATTAAAAATCTTGTAATTAAAAACAAAAATCAGAGATTAAATTACTACTATAAAATCATTTAAACATTTTGTTTATTAATTCTTTGTTGACTAATAGGTCATATTTAAAATCTCTGATTTATATGAAATGCATTTCAAATGTCATAATTATCTTGACATTCCTCTCTGAAGTGAAATTATGACATTTGATATGCATTTCACATAGATCATAATCAAAATCTCTGGTTTATCAGTCAAGAAGGAATCAAAAAAAAAATTATGACAATGAAGTATAGAAGGTAGTGATTAGGTTAGTTTTGAAATAACCACATTTATAAATTCTTCATGTATGTTTAAATAGAAATTATATGTTAGGCTATATCCCTCATCACCTGGCTGTTTTATGGGCCTAGAAAAAAGGCCCTCTTAGAGCCCATAGGGCAAAAAAAAAATTGGAAAAAATTTATAAAATAAATAAGTATTTAATATTGTATCAGTTCTACTTTTACATATCATTTAAAATATGATATTAATATTATTAGATGGGATAAATACTTGCTTAATAGCTGCAACTTTTTATGATAAAATATATCAGTATCACTTTTATGGTTTTTTAAATATAACTTGTCATTTTATTATGCACTAATAATCTTTTCAATTCACTAATCATTTAAAACGTAAAGAATTTAAAAATATATATATATTTCTAAGCCTTTGAAAATTTAAAAATATTTTTATTATAAAAAATTTTACTGAATTCTCTGTTTGTTAATTATGCAAAGTAAGCAAATTATACTGTACATCAAGTTTATTTATTTTGATAAATTTTAATAATAAAGATAATCTATTTTTTAGTTTATCTCTGAAGATGAATCATTAAATCTTAGAACATTAGTAAAAAAAAGACATCTTTTTTTATTTCTTTGGATTTAATTATTACTGAGAATTTTATTACTGTATTTTTTAAATAATTTAATTTTATTGATTCATTAAAGTTTTTCTCCGGAATACATTTGTAAATAACAATATAAATACATCAGATATAAACATAGAAACTACTACATTTAGCCTACAATATCATAAGAAACATAACTATTATTTATTTTACATAGTTAAATGTAGGCATGAAGTGTAATTCATTTTATAACTATTATTTGAAGTAATGTCATGAAATGTGTTTTATAAAATACACTATTGAATAAAACTGTTAAATCTCTCAAATTTTATTAAATAATCATTTAAGCTGTTTTTATGATAATTAAAACATGTAACTAATTATTTTTACATAAATCTAATTCATAATCACTATTTGAAAATAAATACCTGTATTCAGTAATTTGATATAAATATCAGTTATATAATTTTTCTGATAAAATGGATTCTAATTGCTGCATAAACATATTTGATAGATAAGTTATTCAACTCATATAATATATACTAATGTTAAGATTTTTATAGCTGATAAAATTATATATTAAAAAAATATATTAATATTTTAAATAGGAATATTTTGAGCAGTAAAGGTGCCTGGGGAATTTCTCATACTCGAGTCCCTACTGAATCAAGACCAGGACATGTTGCAATTGCTGCAGGATTTTATGAAGATGTAAGTGCTGTTTTCAAAGGTTGGAAAGAAAATCCTGTGGAATTTGATTCAGTTTTCAATGAAAGTAGATATACTTGGGCATGGGGTAGTCCAGATATTCTTCCAATGTTTGCTAAAGGTAACAGTAAATATATATATATTATTACTTTAAATTTTTTAAATTAAAAACAATTATATACTACTTTCTTATCTTTAAATTCTAGAAATCTTTATAAAATTATTGTGGAAATTGATTGACAATATTTTAAACAGTTTACTAGATAAACACTCAAATTACTGTGCTTTTTAAAAATATTTATTTATAGTCTGATATCTTTTCTATTTATACTAGAATTTCCAACTATTATATGCTACCTAAAATGTCTGTTGCTGATAGTAACAGTGCTAAGATTTTCATTCTGGAAGGGCAAAGATGGAGCAGAACATTGTTTTAGTGGAGTGGATATTATCTGTACATTTTATCTTCAAACAAATTAATTTTTAAAATTTAACGATCAGCTTTTCAGTGACATATAAGCAGAAAAAAGTTTAGCAAGAATATCTAATTACTTGATGAACATCAATTATATTTAAAGAATATAATGGTCCAATAGATAGACTTGAATAAATTATTTTAGGATGGGTGGATAGGTGGGTGAAGGAAATAGTTGCCTATCATTTGTACTAGTTCTCAAACATTCTGAAAAAACTAATACAAGACTTATTCTTTATGAAAATATCTTATTTACATTAACTTTAATGAAAATATAACATAAAAAGTAATAATAATTTTAATTTCAATTATTTAATGTTTTTACAAATAATATAGTATATAATTTTTTATATTGATAAGTATTTTCTTGTATAGAAAATTTTTTATACTGATTACATGAAAAATATGATATAAAAATGTTACTTACATATTTTGCCATTAACATGTTTGTCTTTTGTAACATTCTGAGTTACTTGTATTATTTGAACCTGTTGGTACTACTAATTTAATAGCTAGCCATATAAATACATATAGTCAATTCTTGATAAGATGAACTTGTTTGTTTTAAACAGAAAGTTCACTTTTTGTATATTCAGGGGAAATTTTTGGTTTTGAAAATATTCTACATCACTCTTTAGTTGGAAATATTTATATTAAACTGATTTGATAGTTTTGGACAAACATATTTTAATAAAAAAAATTTTAAAATAAATTTCATTTACATTTATTAACAACAAATTTACTAGTAAGTGTTATTTTTTTTAAATTCTAAATTTATAAAAAAAAAATAAAAACGAATAAAGTGGAAACCTGTCTAAATTATTGGAAAGGATCAGTTTTCTATGTTTAATTTTACTATTAGCTGGTAACAATGTGGACTTCAAAGAAACTTTTGGGTATGAAGAATGTAACTTAATCTGAATAAAGTGGAAAATTAAAATTCCACTTATAAGTAAATTCATCTCTATGTATAATGGCCATTGCAGACATGACAAACTGTATTCCAAAAACAAAGGGTATGTGCCAAGGGGACATACAAACACAGGGTCTTTGTTAATATGTTATTAGTCTTTATTAGAATTAATCAGGAATAGAATTGAGAACTTTCAAGAATTGGAATGCATTTTTGAGAATTGAGTTCTTGAGAACAAGCAACAAACATAATTCACAATCAGAATAAGATAACACAGTGCTGCCAATTTGCCTTGTACTGGTAGTTACCAACTAATTCACACAAATACTTGAAAACAAGATTTTTTTTTAACTCTTCTGCCTTGTGATCATTAAGAGGGCCTCTTTTAGCAAGTCTGTTATGGGTTCAGCCAGGCCCACAAACGGGTAGCCGGCAAGGGATAGGGCCCGACATATTCGAATGGACCTCCCCTGAAAATTCCTGGGGATTTTTTTATTTGTTCGGATTCGATCCTGGGTTCCCTAGAATGGTAGGCTGCCACCTTGACTGCTCAGCCATCCTGCCATCTTGAAAACAAGTTGATTAATATGTTGATAATAACAGAGATTGAAATAAATGATTAATTTGATTTAGAGCATTAAAGTTAGTACAGTAGAGTCCCAAAAACTTGGTTTATTTGCATCTGACAAGCATTTGAATACCTAGCACAAGTTCTTGGGAATGAGAACTTTTTAGAATCAAGTAGTTCTCAATTCTTGTATTTGAATACTATAGATCAGGGGTGTCCAGCCCGCGGGCCGCATGCGGCCCAAGGCAAGTTCCAATGCGGCCCAATAAACATGTAAACAAAACCGACAAATGTTTTAATTTTTTTATTATTTATTTATTTCAACGGCATAAACTAAAAAAAGAAGTTTCACAAAGCCGTAAACTTTTATTCATATTTTATTTTTGAGTGGAAAGAAAATATTTTCAAATACTTGGAGATGTGTGAATGCGGAAGGANCCGCACAGCTTAGAGGGAACATTGGTCTGAACAAACAAAAATTTTTTTCTTACATAATTAAAAATTTTCATAGTTATACTGTTCCATAGAAACAGTATTCAGGGTCTGATCTGGGGCCCCCTTACACCATAAGCCCTTAAGTGTCACTTAACCACACTTAGTAGTTATGCCACTGCTGCTGCTAGAATATCCTGCACTACATCTGCTGATAAAACTGACTTTTGTCTGACAAGATTCTTATCTAAAAGACCAAATTTATTTTAAGAAACTTTAACAACTTCTCAATTATACTTTTTACTATTGTTCCAATGTTCTGGTCTAACTAAATAATTTTAATTGTTGAATCAATAAATTTAAATGTTTGTTACTTGCTAATTAAATTGTGATATAAGTTTTTATTTTTAATATCTATAATTGTAATGTAGATTGTCTTCTCTGGAAAAAATATAATTTTATTTTAAATGTGATATGAAATAATCCATTTTATAATTATTTTTTCTGTTTTTTAGTGTTCTTTTATTAGAATGGAAATAATTTCACATTATTATTGGTATTATTAAAATATATTTCTAAACAGAATTAATTGGACATGGAAAAGTTTTTGAATTAAAACAAATTGATTTATTATCAAACTAGTAGCCCGGGACGCCCCCTAGTGGGCGTTTTAGCAGTATTACAAATTCCTATGAGGCATGTTTAATGCACTTAATATACTATTATTATATTAAAAAATTAGCTTAACTATTTTAAACCTTATCGTTTTATCGTAGTGGTTCAAATCTATCCGGTTTTTCGTTATTTGCCCCCTAGTGAACATTACAGGCACTCCGTGACAATAATAAATTCCTAATACAAATATAATGAATTATTTATATTGTCATATTGACCAAATAATAATTTATTGGCCAAATGAATAATAATAATATATATTGTTCATTTAAATAATAATTAAAATTGTTAATTTAATTTGAATGTTTTAAATATGACACACGATAGGGGCGCCTCTAGTGTCCGTTATCAAACGGTTACGGGACAGACGGACGGAAGGACGGATACATGTTGAATGGGTTATATATATAGATGGGGCACAAGCCTTCTTTGTCATTGGGTTGCCCTTTTCTTAATCCCAAGGGAGCTCTAAGATTTCATTTTGTTTTTAAATTACTCATTTTTATCACAGAAAAAAACTTTTTACTAATGACAAAATAAAAATATTTGTTATTAATCAAAAATTTGTTCTAGTGGATGGTTATTGTTCCACCGAGGTACCACTGTTTGATTAACACAATTTTGANTACACATTTTGTAGCATTGAAAGACTGTCTTTATGTATATTATATATCAATCTTAATATTGAATTCAGAGTGACCGTACTAAAATTCTAGTTTAATATAACGTAATATTTATTTAATGTCAGAAAATAGCCTTGCTTACTAATTAATCCTGAATGTGAAATTATTTTAAATCTAATTTATACAATTGAAATATAGCATAGCTATTGAAATTAATAAATACAGTAGACCCCCCTATAATGTGTAGATACGTTCCATGTTATATGAATTTCACGTTGTAGGAATCCTTAAATACATGAGTCAATCGCAGCCCGACACGTGAAGTTTATGGACTACGGCTGTTTGAAAGGTTTCCTTCCATAAAATTAATCAATTCTAGACTAATTCGACTCAACATTTCCAAAACATGTATAATTTTTGGGGAATAATCCATATAAACTATACTATAAACAAAAAATTGTAGAATTACTTACCGAGTGTGCACCGTTCGATGTCGCCATTGCTTAAGCTTGTTTTCGTCACGGAGCAGCGCACCAAACGGCGGCCGCGATTTTTGATAAGTTATTTTTTTGCAAAAAATTTGTTGACCTTTGGAGACATCATTAATATAAATAATTTTTATGGTTGTTGAATAAGAAATGTTTCTTTCACAAGAAATGTATAAAATTACAGTACTGTATTAGACTTATGGTACCTAATTTACATACTGTACAGACGATAGTAAACTCAACTTAATCGCCTAAACTCTCTGTAGTGTGGCGCTGGACGGCAGAAAGTATATATATAATTATAATAAAGTTAAAATAAGTTAATATATAATTATATATACAGTACCTAATTTATAATACTGTAGACAATAGTAAACTCAACTTACTCACCTAAACTCTCTGTAGCATGTAAGTAGTTCGGCTGCTCGTCTACTATTGGTCCAGATTCAACCAATCCTGTCAGCGACTATGTTTTACAAGTCCCTTTTAGCATCTATATGAATACTGTCGCAAGTTTTTCGCCACATTATAGGAATCTCTGTTATAGGAACCCGCGTTATAGGGGGTCTACTGTATAACATTATACATGTGTGTTAAATATATGTATTTTTTATTTTAGTGTCAGCTTATTTCTTGCATTCATTGGTTGGATTAATTATGTGATTTTATTAATAATTAAAAATCATACTGCTATTATTCATATATCTTTGGAGCAACAACAATCAGTATTATTAGCTGGCGAATATCCAAAATTAAAAATTACATTATTGTTTTTATTTATTGGTTCAATTGTCACATGGTTACTATATGGTAAGTTTTATAATTTGAAAACTCTATTAATTATGAAAATAATACTTTTTATAATTTTAATAAAATACTAATAATTAAAAGTTGCATACAAAAATATTTAATACTGTTTCTACAGTAAAATATAATTATGTATAAACTAAGTTTGATATATAGTAGTAAAGAACAATACTGCTGGATTTTTAATTGGGCTATAATCATCAAATGACATAATATCTTTTAAGTTAATTTGTCTAGAGGCAAACATTGAATGGAAGTCTGGATAGGATAATTGGCAATACATCTGCACAGTAAGCAGCAGTTGTAGGCTTGAGTATTGCTCTGAATCACTTTTTTATTCCAGAGTATTCTAAATTGATTAATTTATTTCTACTTGTTAAATTTAATACATGTCACTAATTTGAATCCTATAATATTTATAATTAATTAATGAATATTTATAATTAATTAGCCATACTATAGCTGNATAACAATATAAATACATCAGATATAAACATAGAAACTACTACATTTAGCCTACAATATCATAAGAAACATAACTATTATTTATTTTACATAGTTAAATGTAGGCATGAAGTGTAATTCATTTTATAACTATTATTTGAAGTAATGTCATGAAATGTGTTTTATAAAATACACTATTGAATAAAACTGTTAAATCTCTCAAATTTTATTAAATAATCATTTAAGCTGTTTTTATGATAATTAAAACATGTAACTAATTATTTTTACATAAATCTAATTCATAATCACTATTTGAAAATAAATACCTGTATTCAGTAATTTGATATAAATATCAGTTATATAATTTTTCTGATAAAATGGATTCTAATTGCTGCATAAACATATTTGATAGATAAGTTATTCAACTCATATAATATATACTAATGTTAAGATTTTTATAGCTGATAAAATTATATATTAAAAAAATATATTAATATTGTAAAAAAGGGATATTTTGAGCAGTAAAGGTGCCTGGGGAATTTCTCATACTCGAGTCCCTACTGAATCAAGACCAGGACATGTTGCAATTGCTGCAGGATTTTATGAAGATGTAAGTGCTGTTTTCAAAGGTTGGAAAGAAAATCCTGTGGAATTTGATTCAGTTTTCAATGAAAGTAGATATACTTGGGCATGGGGTAGTCCAGATATTCTTCCAATGTTTGCTAAAGGTAACAGTAAATATATATATATTATTACTTTAAATTTTTTAAATTAAAAACAATTATATACTACTTTCTTATCTTTAAATTCTAGAAATCTTTATAAAATTATTGTGGAAATTGATTGACAATATTTTAAACAGTTTACTAGATAAACACTCAAATTACTGTGCTTTTTAAAAATATTTATTTATAGTCTGATATCTTTTCTATTTATACTAGAATTTCCAACTATTATATGCTACCTAAAATGTCTGTTGCTGATAGTAACAGTGCTAAGATTTTCATTCTGGAAGGGCAAAGATGGAGCAGAACATTGTTTTAGTGGAGTGGATATTATCTGTACATTTTATCTTCAAACAAATTAATTTTTAAAATTTAACGATCAGCTTTTCAGTGACATATAAGCAGAAAAAAGTTTAGCAAGAATATCTAATTACTTGATGAACATCAATTATATTTAAAGAATATAATGGTCCAATAGATAGACTTGAATAAATTATTTTAGGATGGGTGGATAGGTGGGTGAAGGAAATAGTTGCCTATCATTTGTACTAGTTCTCAAACATTCTGAAAAAACTAATACAAGACTTATTCTTTATGAAAATATCTTATTTACATTAACTTTAATGAAAATATAACATAAAAAGTAATAATAATTTTAATTTCAATTATTTAATGTTTTTACAAATAATATAGTATATAATTTTTTATATTGATAAGTATTTTCTTGTATAGAAAATTTTTTATACTGATTACATGAAAAATATGATATAAAAATGTTACTTACATATTTTGCCATTAACATGTTTGTCTTTTGTAACATTCTGAGTTACTTGTATTATTTGAACCTGTTGGTACTACTAATTTAATAGCTAGCCATATAAATACATATAGTCAATTCTTGATAAGATGAACTTGTTTGTTTTAAACAGAAAGTTCACTTTTTGTATATTCAGGGGAAATTTTTGGTTTTGAAAATATTCTACATCACTCTTTAGTTGGAAATATTTATATTAAACTGATTTGATAGTTTTGGACAAACATATTTTAATAAAAAAAATTTTAAAATAAATTTCATTTACATTTATTAACAACAAATTTACTAGTAAGTGTTATTTTTTTTAAATTCTAAATTTATAAAAAAAAAATAAAAACGAATAAAGTGGAAACCTGTCTAAATTATTGGAAAGGANGGCAAAAATTTAACAAAAAATAATATTAAAGTAGCCAAGACATAGCCAAATATTGTAATGCCACATCACTAGCGGACATTTGAAATTTGCCGACTCGAACGGTCGGTTAACCGATGTGACGGTTAATTGGGGGTCGGATAATCGATGCTCTATTGTACTGTATTTATGTATGTATAGGCCACACTTTTTTACCCTAAATTTTTTTTATGAAAATTAAGGTGCGGGATATACCCAAGATAATGAATAATGTTAAAGCAATTTAATATCATTAATTGTCTTTACATACTACTTTGGACTTCAAACTGAATCATTTCAACAGATACAGAAAATCTATTTGCCCAAATTTCATGGATATATCTCAGCAGATTTGCTTCCAGGTTGGGATATTTTGCTGTCTTTCTGCAAAACAATTGGCAATTTTGTGATGTTTTCTCAAGAGCATCCTTTGTTTGAATCCGTTGCTGTACATTTTTTTTCATCTACATCAAACTTTCTTCCTGCTTCTAGATTTCCATTTTCTTGTGAATAATTAATCACTTGCAATTTAAACTTTACTGTGTAACTCACTCTCACTTGACCCACATTTAATATTCACTGAGCAGGCACTCAACAATAAGCATTAACCATCATTTTATTTCTTTGCTTGGAATTTGCAGTGTTGCCATATTTCTGTATACCTTCATCTCTACTCTTGTACCAGTCAGTTCCTTGTAGGAATTTCGAGATTTTTATTTTTTTTTCCAAATATATCATTTCAGAAATGGGGTGTGGCTTATATATGTATGTGGCCTATACATGCATAAATATGGTATATGGAAATGAAATTATTGTGCTTAATGACTATAATCCAAAATCAAAATGGTAATTTTTCCTAAAAGTAATTTTTACACATTATATATGAATCAGTTGTTTCAGGAAATAATTTAAAATTTAATAATTAAAAAATTTCAGTATTTTAACAATGTTCTTGTAAGAAATTTAAAAAATTGTAATTTATAAATTATATGCATTTGAATATATTTCATATCAACTTCAATTTGTTGGTGTAAAATTTTAAAACATGTAACAATAAAATAATTTAAACAATATAACATTTTATAATCATTTTAGCTATACCCTAGAACATTAATAAAGTTTTTTTTTTTTTGACTATTATTTCTCTTGAATCTAAATATGATGGAATGATTATTTTTTAGATAAAAAGTAAAATAAAGTTAGTGTTATTATTAACTTATTACAATTTATAAAAATTTAAACTACACCATAAATATGTAATTATATTACTTGAATATACTGAGTTTTATTTATTCTATATTAATGCAATTTAAAACAGATAAATTTTCTATTTGACATAAAATAGAAAATTTATCTGTGTGTTATACAATATGTAGTAAAATTTTAAACAGTATATATATAATTTTTATATTTAAGATGTTTAAAAAATTATATTTATTTTATTCAGAGCAAAACTCGCCAGCAATGTATTATATATATTTTTTAACACCAGTTTTTCTTTGGAATTTAATTTTTTGCAGGTAATAAATTATTACATATTAATATAAAAATTAAACATTAATTCACTAGTTTTAGTTTAAAAGATTTTAATAATGATAATTTATGATATTATAGATGGGATTTAATACAGCAGGCTCAAATTTATATGGAAAGAAGAAATTATACTTTAAAATTTATTGGAATTATTATTATTTGTATTGTTGGATTAGAACTTCTTGTGGGTATAAAAATAATACTTTGAATTTTTTGGAAATTTTTTTTGTATTTTTAACTTTATCAATTATTACTTATTAAATAGGTTGCATCATTTTTTCGAAGAGGTTTACTTTCTCTGGGTTTAATATTTATATCACTGTGGCCATTAACCACATCCCTAAGATATACTCATAAGGTAAGAAAAATATTTATATAACTTGAGCAATATAAAATTTAGATAAATTTGGTTTTTATAGTTTATTGCAGGATTATGGTTCATGACTTGTATTATTATGGCAATTTTTCCTTTTTTACCAGTTGTAGGAAGACAATCAAATTACACATTAGTGTAAGTAATAAAACAGGTTTAAATTTTTAAACAGAAATTATTTAATATTTAAATAATCAAGATTTATTTAAATTATTCTTAGAACATTTACTGGTTGGATTTATGCTCTTTTAGCAGCTTACTGTGCAAGAAGGTGAGTTCACTATATTATAAGAACTATTTAAAATTGCATTAAATTATTAAAAATAATAAATATTTTAAAAAGTATATTATTTTATCAATGATATTAGATTATGTCTTTTCATTTATTATTATTATTATTATTGTGTTGGGTTTAGTGGGTTACTTTGTTCACACCGGTGGCTGTGTACTATGCCAGACCAGAGTCAAGGCATAGCAACCAAAAACAAAAATTAAATAAGTGTGTCAGTGTCTGTATTCAGGAATTTCCTAACAATGTGGCATGCATTCAATATAGTGGCCTTCTGTAGTGTGATGTATGTATTTCTATTCAATTGTAATGCTCCCAGGCTTTTGTGTAGTGTGTGTTGCATCACACCTGTACTGGAGAGAATGACAGGTACAATAAGCATCCTATCCATCCTCCACAGATGCCTTATTTCCTGGACGAGTTCTGTGTACTTGCTAATTTTTTCAGTGCATGTGTTTTGTACATTGTGTGTTTGGAATGGCTATGTCTATAATGTATGTTGTTTTATTGTGTTTGTCAATGAGTGTGATGTCTGGTCTGTTGTGGTAAATTGTTTTATCTGTGATTATGGCTTTGTTGTAGTACAGTTTGTGCATGCTGTTTTCCAATACTGTCTATGGCAGGGATGAGCAACACGCGGCCCGTTAAACATGTTTATGCGGCCCGCCAAGCATTTTTAAAATTGAATTTATTTTATCGACTTTCTCCCATCAATGTATTGTTATAAAATTAATTATAATATAATGGTAGTACATACTAAACCGAAACAATTTTTTGTGACGAGTTACTCACATGTCGGTGACTTGTTCAAACATGCAATACGAACGCACCGCGTCTGTGCTTGTTTGTGTTTGCTTCTGTCACACAATCAGTCAGACTGGTAAGCTGTTAACTAGCTATTTTAGCAATTCTTGTGTTTCTTGAAAGGCGTGAATGCAATATTATTGTCAAAAAGGTAATATTAGAGTTTTTTTATTCAAAATTAAGTTTTTTTACAAATTTTTTTAACTTTCAAATTTTTAATCCATAATAGCATGTCGGAAAAGCAAACAAAAAAACGGAAGGTTGCAGATGAGAACAGGCATTTCCAAGAAAAGTGGAAATTTGATTATTTTTTCACTTTCAACAAAGATAAAGCTGTATGCTTAATATGCTCAGAGACTGTGTAGACATTAAAAGAATATAACATAAAAAGGCATTACGATACGAAACATGAACAACAATATAAAAACTTAACAGGACAACTCCGGATAGATAAGTTTAATCAAATGGAGAAAAACTTGGGAAAACAACAGGCTATTTTTAAAAAATCAAGCTATTTTATCAAATACGGCAGTAATAGCTAGTTTTGTTGTCAGTCAAATACTGGCAAAAAAAATGAAACCCTTTGCGGATGGAGAGATGATAAAAGAATGTCTGACTGCTGTTGCAGAAATAGCATTTCCTGATGAAATAAATATTATTTCAAACATTAGTTTATCAAGATTCACCATTGCAAGGAGAATTGAAGACTTGTCCGAGAACATAGCAACAACGCTTCGTGAACGCATTGCAAAATTCAAATACTGTTCTTTGGCACTTGATGAGAGTTGCGATATTAGCGATACAGCACAACTGGCTATATTTATACNACGCTTCGTGAACGCATTGCAAAATTCGAATACTGTTCTTTGGCACTTGATGAGAGTTGCGATATTAGCGATACAGCACAACTGGCTATATTTATACCTGGTATTGACACCAAATTTAATATTACTGAAGAATTGTGTTCACTGATTCCAATGCAAGGGACTACAACTGGCAAAGACCTGTACGATGAACTAACGTCTGTGTTGGAAAATTTGTCAATTTTATTAGAAAAGATGGTATATCGACAGATGGAGCACGAGCAATGTCAAGCATGGAGGTAGGAGTATCGGGAAGGCTATTTCAAGACATTAAGAAAGTCACAGGAAGGGAAATATTCGTTAACCACTGCATAATTCACCAGGAAAATTTGTGTGCGAAAAGATTGAGTTTACCAAACGTCACAGTACCAATAATTAAACTAATCAATTTTATAAAGTCGTGCACGTTAAATCACCGTGAATTTAAAGAGTTCCTGAAAGATTTATAAACTGAATATGGCGACATGGTTTTTAATACCGAAGCTTAGTATTGGCTTAGTAGAGGTGCAATGCTAAAAAGAGTATACAACTTAAAAAGCAAAATACAATTGTTCTTGGATATGAAGGGATATGCATTTCGTCATTTTGGTAATAAAGAATGGATGTGCGATTTTGGATTTCTTATCGACATGACTCAGCATCTCAATGATCTTAATGTGGAACTTCAAGGCAAAGGACAGTTTATTCACAACTTGTATGATAAAATTCAGGGCTATGAGCGTAAATTAAAATTGTGGAAACAGCATCTTTTGCAGAATAATGTGTCTCACTTTCCACATTTAGAAAAAGAAAACGTTACTACTTCTCAAAAATACGCACAATATATAGACATTTTAATCAATGAATTTCAATTACAATTCCAAATGTTCAAAGCTGAGAAAACAGCGGTTTCCATGAAAATCTTTTCTCGCCATTTAATATCGATGTGGATACAGTTTCCGAAGACTTTCAAATGGAAGTGATTGATTGACATGCAGAATAATACCGATTTAAAAAATGTATTTTTCTCAGTAAACATCGAAAATCTTATGTGAGCCCTGAGAAATTTCCGCTTTTGACGAAAAATGCAAAGCAAATGATGTCTCTGTTCGAAAGTACATATGTTTGCGAACAATTATTTTCAACCATGAAATTAATCAAAAATGACCACCGATCAAGACTGAGTGATGCACGATTAGAAAGCTGCGTACCTGTAGCTACCTCATCAATTACCGCAGATATTGATCAGCTTGTATCGAAAAATCAGTGCCGAATTTCTCATTAAAAATTTCAAGTAAATTCATTTTTCTGTTCTTTTCTTATTTGTTTTTATTTTGCATTAAAATCTGTATATGAAATCTTTACTTTTTTTNTTAATCATCCAACTTCAAATAATTACAAAATAATTAATAGTTAATATCAAAGATGTTGTTATATTTAAGTTCAATTTTTTTTTATTTGTGTCTTTATTGAAATGTAAATATTTTGAAGTTTAAATTTTATTTTTTAGGTGATTATACTCTTCATCTCTATCTACATAATGAAAAGTACATCAGACAGTATTGAAAATAAAACAGGTTTACCTTTGTTAAATCAGATGTTATCTTGGCTTATTTTAGGTAATTATTTTTTTTCATAATAATAATAATTTATTTAAAGATTAAATGTAAGATTAAGATATAATTTTGCTTAAAGATTAAAAATGACTCAAAATCAGTCAAAATCATTCTAAAAATAAAGATTGTTTGGTAACTGTAAAAAGCAGTGTGGTCTATATCTTCAATTATGGGGCCAAATTTTGTGAACCACAAAAAAAAGATTAAATTATTATTCAGTACAGTATAAAAATTTTGAAACATTTTAATGAAATGTTATCAAACATGATATTTGAAAATTTTTATTAAATTCACAGGAACTAAAAATGCAAATAGGAGCTAAGTTTGCTTGGTGTTGACATTCTCTGCTATGTCAAAAGAGTTAAATTTTGTCAATATGGTTAATGTTTTTTCATTATTATTATTACTTTTATATGCTAACATAAACTCTTTAACAGTAATAATTAATTATTCAAGCATATTTGCATTGCTATTACAATTTTTAGATAAATTACATACCTTTTCATTTTTTTAATTAACAGTTAATGCTCCAGAATGCATTTTGGCATTTTCTCATCCTCTTTGATTAGATTATGTAATATATTTTGAACTTTACAATATCAAATTATTAATTCCACAATTTAAAATATTAATTTAGAAAATACAAAATTTCAAAATATAAGTTACAGAATAAATTATATTTCCCATATAAACTGGTGTTTATGTGAAAATAATAAATTTGTTAATAAATTACTATTGATGACTTCCCTATTAATAACCATGGTATCTTTAACACCATAAAGGTAATCATATTGTGATTATAAATAATAAATAAATAATAAGTGTTATTTAAAAAACAAAGGTGTGTAATTTGTTTAAAAATTGTAACAGCAATGCAAATATGCTTATATAACCACTTATTACTCTTGTAGACAGAAAGTTTAAAATACACAAATTCTTTAATAATAATAGCTGTATTTTCATCTACTTTCTTGAATAATTTTTAATTTATTTTTTTAAATTTAATATTTCTGGATGCTTTTAAACATTCTTTTATCACTATACTGATCACTTTTTTCTTCACAGGCTTTAAATTTATGCAGATTTGTACAGATTTTTGAAAATAATTTATAAAAAATTATTAACAAATATAAGGAAATAAGCAAAGTACTTTTGAATAAAATGCTACATTCAAGATAAACTGAATTATAGCAATTTGATTACTGTTCAGATTTTTTTTTTTTGGTTGGCAGCCTCATTAAAAAATCTTGAGCCTGAGAAAAAATAAAAAATATCTTAGAAAATTAATTAGGGCTAAGAGTAAAATCTAGTTGGTCTCATATCCTTTAAATCTAATATCATATAATTTTATTGTCAATCAAGACTTGATGATAATTTTATTGTTAACATTTTTTAATAGTATTAAAGATGCAAAAATAATTAAAAAATAATAATTTGATAACAATTGAAATTTTGTCATTTAAAACTTAATTCTATAAATAAAATAATCTTAGAGATAAGAAATTTTTAAATAATACAATGTTTATTACACTATTTTTATTATTTTTCAGTTTTTCTTTAAAATATTACCAATTATTATTAATCTTGAAAATATTAAAATTATTCTATATCTAATGACAGTTGAATTTTAATACGATAAGACCCCGCTTAATGCTGATTCGATATAACATGGTCTGCTCGAAGCCTTAAAGAAGCCTAAAATTTATGCCAATTCAAATTATTGTGGCCTTTCATTGATCTATATAATACGATTATTCCCAAACACAAACCAATCTGCTAAAAGGTGGTTAATTGTCATAGTGCTGTACTTCATTTAAATCTATGTGTGCTTTGTGTAATTTTGGAAAAAATATAACATCATAGTGCCATAGGAAATATCAACTTCTCCTGGCAAGAATTAACTGAAAGTGCATGAACGAAGTGTGGAAGTTATGGCTGGAGGTATCCAAGAATTCTCAACGAGAAGAGCCTATTATTATATTGTTAGGTTGATCAAATTGTCAACCTAATCAATACAGCAGGACTAGGAGATGTACATGAGTAGGATATTGAGGAGTTACTGCAGGTTTCTGGTAAAAGCCTTACCAAAAACCTTCAAGAACTGGCAGAACAAGGAATTCACGTAGAACTGGAAAATAGAGATTCTGAAAATGAAGAACCCAAAGAATTTCTCTACAGATTAGATTTCCTTAGTAAAAGTTTGGTAACGATAACCAAAATCATTGATCAAATTGTAGCAAATGATCCAGATTTTGAAAGGAGTGCAAAAGCAAGATGAGGCATTTTGGATGCAATCTCTTGCTACCGACATTTACTTAAGGAAAGCAAAAGAAAGCAACAAATGAAACTACACAACTTTAATGCAAAAACCAAGAATTTCAAAAAATCCAGGACCTTTGTCACAAAAAATGAACTTTAGATTTCTGTGTTCATATGTTTATGTGTTATTTAACATTATACAGTGTGTAATCGGATAACAAACACTTTTGAAAAAGATTTTTATGTTCAAACAATGAGCACAACAAGCAGAAAAAGAAGTGACATAAAATAGTGAACACTAATTGGTCTTCCCTTGTCTCCAGGTGACAATTCGAAACTTTTCGGAGTTCTGAAGATGTCAACATCGACACTCAACTCGATACCAATCGGATAGTATTCCTCCAAATTTTCAAACTCTCCCTTGTAATTCCAGCCTTTTGTATCTTTCTGACAAATAATTTTTTATAGTCTTCATGAGACCATCGGGCAGGTACTCATTAAGTTTTGCATCAGTTTTTTGAAAGGTGAGAGTTTAACTGTACCATTGTATATTCATTAATGTTTTAGTACCAAATTTCGAATTTCATCCAGACCTTGCACTTAAATAATTTTTTGTATGCTAGTTGATTTCTGTTCTCTGAATTTTTGTAAGTGTTTTTCTGAACTTTTTATTTAAAAAAGAAACTGATAATATTATAGAGCCTAAAAAGAGTGAAATGTCAAGAACTGTGCTCACCGTAGAAACCAAGCAAGAGATAATAGCCAAGATAGAGAATAGGCAGACAATGTCTGATGTTGCTAGGCAGTATGTTTTGAACATGTCTACAGTAGACACAATCTTAGCTATGAAAGATATATCAAGAAGTCTCAAGCAGCTAAAGGAGTAATGAAAATCACATCTGAGAAACAAAGAGCATTGAAGAGCTCGTAATGGAATCTGAAACTGATGTGATGATAGAACTCCAAGAACTCTTAAATGAAGAACATCAAGAAACACAGCAAGATGTGTATTCTTTTGAAAAAGAGGAAGAAGAAAGAGGACCAATACCAACATCTGCTATTAAAGATCTTTTGAAGAAGTGGGAGGATGTCAGAACAATGGTCATCCAAATGGCATCTAAATCAGAATGAGGTTAATAGGCTTGGGATCTCTACAATTACAATGCTATTAATTACTTTCGAAAAATCCTGAAGAAGAGAGAAAAGCAATCGACATTGGACAGATTCTTTAACCCCCACAAACAGAAAAAACATGGCTAATAAAAATGCAAGACTTTGTATATATGTACTTTTACTATTACATATAAATAAATGTAGTAAGAAAGTATATATTTTTTATTTTTTGGAGTCTCCGGAACGAATTAATCAAATTCCCATAAAAACCTGTGGTAAATCGATAATTAGTTATGAACAATTCAGATAGCGAACAAAGTCTTGGAATGGATTATGTTTTTTAACCAATCATCCACTGTATTTTTATGCAAATTAATATAAAAATAAGTTAAAATTAAAGTAAAATTTGTTTATTTTTGGTCACCCTTTCCCTATTTACCCTATATTAAAGTGACTTCATTTAATGCTTTTTCATTTAGCACTTTGTCATCTAGGAACATATCCCCAGCGTTAAGTGAGGTCTTATTGTATTTTAAAAGTGAAAGATAAATAGCATTTAAATTTGGAACAGTTGCTGATTTTTAAAATCAATATAAATTTGTTTACATACTAAACTGTAAATAAATTAAAATTCTTATTTATATACTATATAAAAAATTAGTTTTATAAACAAAATCGCATGTGACTAAATATAAAATTTCATTATTTTTAAGGTTTGTCATTTATTCTACCAATTTGGGGATCAACATCCATATTGACAAGATTATTAAATGTGGCCATTTCATTTTTATCTCTCTATCTGCTGATGTCCATAACGTATCCTTTATTGTGTGAAATGTCATTATACAGGGTGTTTCACAATGAAGTGGCAATATTTTTACAGTATTTTCTAGAAGTCTAGGGATTCAAAAATGTCTTATAAACATAGCTCTTCAAATGCATTGTTTTAATACTAGAAGGCATTAAAGTTTAGATTAGCTACCTCTTAAGATTCTGCTAAGCACCACTTAGCAGTGCTGCAGAAAAGCCTCAATCTTGCTGCCTTCAGCTTCTTTCCACTTTAGCAAAAACATAAGGTTTTTGAAGGTAAGAAACTTGAAGTGTAGTAAGATTGAAACTATACACCACAGTACTTAGCAGTGCTGCAGAGCAGCATCTTAATAATTTTTTCAGTACTTTAATGCCTTCTAGTGCTGAAACAATGCATTTGAAGGGCTATGTTTGTCATACACTTTTGAATCCCTTAAGCCTCTAGAATATCCATGAGAAAGTAGAAATTCAAGAAAAGATTTTAAAATAACAAAATTTCTTAGCATTTAAATAGTTATGATGCATTATTTTGTTTAGGATTATGTGTCACAATGTTTCTGTGGTTATATATAGAACATTTATTGTCAGGAAAACATTACAGGGTAAATATTTAAATTGTGTTAAATTATTTTCTTATTTTTATGCCATTAAAAAATTAAAACTTAAAATTTTTCATTTTAGCTTCAAGATGTGTCATTTGAAGTACCAGCTATAAATTTTCAAACAGAATCTTTATTTTATAGAATGGGAATAGATGATATTAGAAGATCTTATTTTTTTGTATCTTTTTGTTTTTATGTAATTTTGTTTATATTTAAATCTCAAATTTTAAATTAATGTATATATTTCAGTAAGAATTTGTTGAAAAAATTAAAATTAAATATATTTATTTTTATTAGAAGTATTATTTTCATTGATTATTATATAAGTACAGTGGTACCTCGGTATACGTCTGCTTTAAAATACGTCCAATTCGGATTACGTCCTGTTTGAACGAAACAAATTTTGTTCGGTATACAACTTTTTTTCGGTATACGACATAATTCAATTATACGTGCCATCAATGAACAAGTAGCACTATCGGTGTACTAAACCAGACTAGATGTTTGCTGTGCAACGGTTTATAACTTTGTTAAATTTCTTCTGATTTTAATTCGTAAGTAAAATTTTATTATTTTTATTAATCACGAATCACAAAAAGGCAAATGAAAAGCGACAGAAAACTAAAAAAATGACTAGAATTACAATGGAACTGATGAAAGAGATTGTTGAGAAATACGAAGGTGGCACGCGTGTTCGAGATTTTAACTGTTGTTTACCGTATTCCGAGAACGACGATATGGACAATCGCGAAAAATAAAGACATTATTAAATCTGCTAACGTTGCGAAAGGGGTTAAATCAATTTCTAAACAGAGATCGAAGACATTAGATCATGTCGAGAAATTGCTTTTGCTTTGGATAACTGAAAAACAGTGCTGGAGACATCGTATCGGAAGCAATTATTTGCGAGAAAGCTAAGAAGATACACGCTGATCTCACGAAAAATCAAGCAGGAACTAGCCCGGAAAGCGAGGTGTTTAAAGCCAACCATTTTTTTTACATGAGAACGGATTAATCATTTTTACATTACTTCTTATGGGAAAGGTTGGTTTGGTATACGTCCAATTCGGTATAAGTCCAAACATCGGGAACGGATTAAGGTCGTATACCAAGGTTCCACTGTATTTCATTTCATTTTTAAAATTTCAAACTTAACATATTTTTAGATATTTTTTATTATTCTTGCATTTTTTGGTACTGGGAATATAGCTAGCATCAACAGGTAAATAATTATTATGTTGTTTAGTTACTAAATCAAGAAACCCCAATTACAGGACTGTTTATATAATAAGAATACAAAAGAGTATAACATAATAAAAATAGTAAAAATCAGAACATTAAACATCATTCCTCCACATAACACTGGGGGATCTATTTATGAAAAAAACTAAAACATAAAAATTGAAAAATGTTAATACACAATTTTCCTGTTAATTTTAATGTTCAATATTAAACAACCTAAATAATAACTTCCAAAACTGTTGCTTAGAAATAAACATACTAAAAAATCATATACAGTTGACCCCACTATAACACTGTTGATTATTCTGTTTTATATGAATTTCATTATGTACAAGTCACTTAGATTTTACAAATATGTGTGCTGGGCTGTGAACGGCTCACGTATTTGTAAAATCTAAGTGACTCATACAACATGGAATTCATATAAAATGGAATAATCAACAGTGTTATAGGGGGTCAACTGTATATACAGGTATCCCTCATACCTAGTGCCATAACTAGGCAGGTGCAACAGGTGCACCTGGAACAGGGCTACTTGGACAGAGAGGCCCAAAATGCATGTATTTGTTTTATTATTTTCCCAAACCTAATTAATTAAGGGACCTAAATGCAAATTCTTGCACAGGGCACAGGAATGACTAGTTACAGCACTGCCTTATATATATCTAAAATACAATACATTTTATGTATTGTATTTTAGATATATATAATGAAAAAATATTCTTTTTATTTACTTTATTAATTACTATTTTATAATATAACATTTTATTTTTATAAGGTAGAAATTATATATTTATATAGTTGCAAATAATTTTATGATGACACACTTCAAATTCAATTTATCAAATCAGAATCTGGAAATGTATTTTTATTTATTAGTCTATAGCAGTGATCCCAAACTTTTTTTGAGCCACCACCCCATTGGTTCCATAAAGTTATACCAAATATCCCTAACCCATTTTCCCTTTCACGAGAAAGGCTTGGAAATATTCCTAGAAAAATTTTTCTTCGAACCTCACACTTTGTGTCCTTACTATACATTGTTCTCCACATCTGGAAACAGTTAAAAGCAATGTTTCTTCTTACCCATCTTAAAAGAGTAAAAAAGGAAACACAACCTTTTGAGTCAGTGACCACAACCTTTGCCTATCATAATAGTTCAGTGCCCCTCTGCCACCCACTTACTTCTTTTCACCTTTCTAGATTTACTCAATGCCCACAGGGGCAGTAGTGCCTACTTTGGAAACCACTTGTCTATATCCATATTGACAAGATTATTAAATGTGGCCATTTCATTTTTATCTCTCTATCTGCTGATGTCCATAACGTATCCTTTATTGTGTGAAATGTCATTATACAGGGTGTTTCACAATGAAGTGGCAATATTTTTACAGTATTTTCTAGAAGTCTAGGGATTCAAAAATGTCTTATAAACATAGCTCTTCAAATGCATTGTTTTAATACTAGAAGGCATTAAAGTTTAGATTAGCTACCTCTTAAGATTCTGCTAAGCACCACTTAGCAGTGCTGCAGAAAAGCCTCAATCTTGCTGCCTTCAGCTTCTTTCCACTTTAGCAAAAACATAAGGTTTTTGAAGGTAAGAAACTTGAAGTGTAGTAAGATTGAAACTATACACCACAGTACTTAGCAGTGCTGCAGAGCAGCATCTTAATAATTTTTTCAGTACTTTAATGCCTTCTAGTGCTGAAACAATGCATTTGAAGGGCTATGTTTGTCATACACTTTTGAATCCCTTAAGCCTCTAGAATATCCATGAGAAAGTAGAAATTCAAGAAAAGATTTTAAAATAACAAAATTTCTTAGCATTTAAATAGTTATGATGCATTATTTTGTTTAGGATTATGTGTCACAATGTTTCTGTGGTTATATATAGAACATTTATTGTCAGGAAAACATTACAGGGTAAATATTTAAATTGTGTTAAATTATTTTCTTATTTTTATGCCATTAAAAAATTAAAACTTAAAATTTTTCATTTTAGCTTCAAGATGTGTCATTTGAAGTACCAGCTATAAATTTTCAAACAGAATCTTTATTTTATAGAATGGGAATAGATGATATTAGAAGATCTTATTTTTTTGTATCTTTTTGTTTTTATGTAATTTTGTTTATATTTAAATCTCAAATTTTAAATTAATGTATATATTTCAGTAAGAATTTGTTGAAAAAATTAAAATTAAATATATTTATTTTTATTAGAAGTATTATTTTCATTGATTATTATATAAGTACAGTGGTACCTCGGTATACGTCTGCTTTAAAATACGTCCAATTCGGATTNCTTAATATAATGTTTTAATATATCGCCCAGAAAAATGTTTTTTGCCCCCCAAAATATAAATTGTTACTAATCGCCCCTCAACATGGAAAAACGCCCACATGGGGGTGATATCGCCCCCATTGAGAAACACTTCTATATCTTTATCATTTTTTACAAGCATGCCTGAAAAAAAGACATTTTGATATCATTTGAGTTTCTTAGGATTGATTTAAAAATCCAAGTATTAAAAAAAATGCTCTGAACTGATTAGTATAGAATTCTTATGTATATATTATGTATGATTACAAATTAACAGAAAATCAAGATATTCTGCTAATTTGTAATAAGAATAAAAACAAATTGAATTAACTCTAAAATGAATGAAAGATATTTTTAAAACTAAATAAATAGAACAATACTTCAGAGTATGAATAACATTTTCAAGGGAGAAACACCTATTTTCAGGAACATTGTAGCAGATTATTATTTAAAACATTAATTCTGAACTATTTAAAATATGAATTTTAAACAAATGTTTAAATGGAAAAAGTTACATAACTGAATTTAAAATAAAGTAAAAAATAAATATTCTAAACAAAGCAACAGAAAAGTTATATATAATTTTAAAAGCCATTTGCAGGATCACATTTACTAATAATATCTTTAATAGTAGTCATAAAAGTAACCATTACAATGTTTAGTTTTGTTAATATTTTTAAAAACTTCAAATATTAATTTGAAGATATTGAATCCCAAATTACTTTAATTGCAGAGGGAAAGGCTTTTTCAGTTAGAAATGTAGAATTTCATTATGATATTCTTTACATTCATTCAAAGTGATCTTTAGTTACAGATAATCTGCAAGTTATATACTGGAAATTATGATGATTTGAAAAGAAACTAAGCTAATTGGGCTGAAATTTGAAAAAATTGTAGACCTATAAATTTCCACTGTTATCTGTTTGTGTGCCTGTCCTTTCCTTAATCTTGAGAATGGAGTTACAGATGAAAGACAAGACTAGATATGGAAACTTTAGGGGCAGGAGGACCCAATTAACTATATACAAACTTCTAATATAAACCAAGGGCTGTATTCTGGTCACTTATCTCTCATCTCTTCTTTCAGAGATGAATGATGTCAAAATGAGAGGTGAGATTTCTCTCTGAGACAGCAGCGATTCTGGACATTTGTAACCTTCTCATCTTTGTTGTTGACGTCATGATTCTATTAGGTTGATTATACACATTTAGGTTATTTGCACACATAACATGGTATAGAATTTTAACCAATGAAATTGTAAAATTTTTGAAAATGCAGAGTACATAATTATAGATCACATTTTAAGGAAAGCACGAGTTCAAATAAAGCATGTAATTTTGATGAAGATATGTTTTTTGTTTTATAATGTTTTACAGATTGTAATGTCAAATTGTCTCTTAGGTTCTTAAAATTTTTATTTGTTAAGTTAGAAAAGCATATGTACTTAGTTAAGGAGAAATTAGATGGTAATATTTTGAAAAATACTTAGAGAGACAAATAAGATTATCATTGTATTCAATAGTTTAGTAATTGATGTAGGCTAATTAAAAATGATGGAATCAGTGGTGTTCCCGAGTAAGCACTGGAAAAAATCAAAAGCATTTTTCTCTTTCAAAATATTCTTTCTCGAGATAGAGAATGTTCTCTAATACGATTGTACAGCACAAGTAGCATCCAGTTGTCTGTATTGGATATAACGAAATCGAGGCGACAGATGAAAGACCGATCAAAAGACAACTATCTGCTTTTCTCTGGAAATTAGAGAATCTTCGAGGGAAAAAATTGTCCAGAATCACATTTGCAGAGATGTGATGATCTCTTGGGATGTAAGCAAATTATTAGCTAATCAGCAACTGGCTTGTGATGTAGACAATGTCTCTCAGAGACGAGAGATGATAACATGATTTCTGGGACCATATTCTGGTCATTTCATCAATTCAAAAATTTTCCCCTGAAAGGTGTTATATAGATGACTGGCCTGACTCTGTTGTTAAAGGAAAAGTATGATGTACAGAGGCAAGCCACTACTAATTTGAGGTGGAGAGCATATATTTTAAATTAAATAAATTGAATAGCAAAAATAAACAAATAACGTAACCAACACCTTATTATTTGCTGAGGGAGTTTTATTAAAAACGAACGTTTTCGATCCACTTAACGGATCATCATCAGGCTAGAACATACGAAAATGGAATACATAATAAATGGAACAATAAGTTCAAATATTCAAAAATATCAATAAACTGATAACAAATCAATTAATAAGAATAAAAAATAAATTTCAAACGATACCTAATAATCTATATATATAAAAATGAATGTGTGTGCGTGTGTGTGTGTCTGTCTGTCCTTCATGCATTACCACACCGTTTATCCGATTGCCATGAAACTCTGGGAAGTTGTTTAATATACTCCGGCGAAGGTTTGTGGCATAGTACGATTGCCATAAAACTCCGGAAAGTTTTTTAATACACTCCCGCAAAGGTTTTTGGCATAGTACATTTATCCTACAATGGCGCGCGTTTACACGAGCATTCGAGCACAGTGTGTTCGATCGATTTCAAATTGTGAAGACCATTTCCCCCTTCAAAAAATATCTCTATATATGCATTTGTGAACTGTTATTTACGATATTTGTAATAATTTTTGTTTAATCACTTTATTTCAACTTTTTTTTGCTAATTACGTATTCGCTCGAACTTTGTTAAAACTTTAACTGTATACCGAACAACAACCGAAGTTGTAGAAGGAAATTCGCCTATTTTACCGATCTAGGGATCCCCTTTTCCAAATTTTAATATCATCTAATAATTTAAAAAGACAAATTACAATAAAACGGTTTATTATCCAACTATCAGAAATTTCACAACATGCCAAGGAAGAGAGGAAGGAGCAATTAAATAATTAAAATTATAAAGGATTAAAAAATATATATAAAAATGGGGAATATCGCACTTCTGACAATCGCTGCGAGTGTGTGGGCTAAATTTGGAGAATCCGTGCTTCTCGCATGGACAACTGTATGTGGCCGGCTCACGCGTCGAAAAACCTTCCGATTTATTCGTGTACGCACCAGACGGAAAAACAAAAAATATCGTGTATCCACAAACACTCCAATAAATAAATAGAATTGAAACGACACTTTGAAATGTTTTCCCGATGAAAATGAATAATAATAATAAGTTTCAATAAAAATAATAAAATGTAAATTGAATTTTATCATAAAGAGTTTGCTTGAATTTCCTTTCTTCTGAGATTGCAGCAATGCGTGACGGGTAAGCTAGTAAATAGTATACTACAAAGACTAAACATTAATACGATCTATCATAGCTAAATAGAAGCTACTAAGTTTCCTTTAAATCAAATACATATCATATTTCAGTTGATGCACTACTTAATATTAGTTTTATTAAAAACGTTTGTTTTTAATAAAACTCCCTCAGCAAATAATAAGGTGTTGGTTATGTTATTTATTAAATAAATTAAAAATATGATTAAAAATTGCAGCCTGACATTGTTTTGATGTCACAATAAATAATTGCTCATTAAGCTTAGTTTCTTTCAACATTAACCTAAATATATTTCCAATTAAATTTTGTACTTCTGAAGATAATTTACATGAATAAAAATGAAAATACTTGAATTATGTATATTTTATTGATTTGTATTACTAAACTGTGTCTGTTTTAAATATTATTTATTACTTATGATTATTACAGAGTACAAGATGAAAGTTATTTTATTTGTATATAATTTATTTTAACAAACTTTTTCAGATTCTTATTCCTTTCCTTATTGTAAGCTGTGTCTTCAGAGCAATATTAGTTTCTGTTAAAGTTCCACCTAAAGCACTTTTGATGGTTATTCTTGTCATGACAGATTTTATGGGATTGGTATGTTGTGCTTATAAAATTTAATACAAAAGTATTTTATATATTAAAATATAAAAACATTAATTATATATAGTATACATTATTATCAAATTTTCATTGATGATAATTTGTTTTGTATATTGCAGCACTTCTTTTTTCTTGTTCAAGATAGTGGAAGTTGGTTAGATATTGGCATTTCTATCAGTCATTATGTCATTATGATGTCCACTACAATTTTTGTTATGATATTGTATGGAGTTGCCTGGTTGCTCACTTCTTGCTCATTTGCATTTTCTATACCATTATTGAAGCGACATCTACAATAATTTATAATTCTTTTGAATAAATGTCTTCCAACAAAATTATTGATTTGTTGTTCTGTGTGTGATATATGGGATGTTATTTTTTTTTCTTTAAGATATTTATTTAAGTTTTCTAATATGCTGTTTTTTATTTTACAGATTTTTATTATTTGGTTTTGTGATATAATTGATTTTATTGAGCTTCTTTTTTAAATAAATTTTTTGATATCTCTTGACTGATAATTTATTTAAACATTGAATCAATAACATCAAAAAAATTATATAAAATTTAATAATTGAATAAAAAAAATTATTAAGAATTTCTGAGTTTTGAATTATACAGAATGAAGAAAATCTTCATTAAACAAGATGAATAATAATAGGTAAAAATTTACAAAGTTAAAAATGATCAAACGTCAGCCTTTTTTGTCTTAACTTCAGATATTGAAGAAAAATATATCTGGAGTTATCATTGAACATTGTGAATTTATGCAAATGAAATGGATAACTCGTACCTACCACCAGAGGGATAGAATCAGTTATAAATTGATGAAAGACTTGATAGTATGATGAGAATATTTGAATAAAAGGTCCAAGTAGACAGGATATACACAGAAATTGTAAACACACCAATTTTTTGAACAGCAGTGACATTTTATTAAATTGACTGATGTTCATATATTTTCATAATGCAAGTTAACAAAAAGCAAAAGCTGATTTAGTAAGTATGCGGTTTTTATTAGCTATTGGAGTAAATCATAATGATAATTTGTTTGTTGACAGAAGTATCATTTTGTAAAGGAAAAGCCAAGGTTAGCAAATTATTTAGGTGCCAAAAGCAAGACAGATGAGAATAAGAGGAATTGATAGTATTGGAATGCAATAAGACATTACAAATATCCAGATGAAGTAGATTTGTCATAAGAGGTTGTAATAAACATCAACTGATATCAGCTGAATAGAAGTAATTAATGAATAAATTTCAAAATTTTAAAACAGATCAGATATATACAAAAGAAAATACATTCTTTTGAATGGCTATCTAATTAATCAAAATAAAACAACTGGTTTTAAGTTTAAAGTTTTCTTAAAAACTATTAGGGGCAGTCAAATGAAAACGAGACAGACTATATAACAAATGTGGCACAGAAGTTGGTAATGCAGGTAGGTGTGTATATAGAAGTGCCCTCTATTGGGAATCAGGAAGGAGCAGCATGAACATTCACTGCTGTGCCATTTGTCTGTTAGATGTGCTCAAAGTGAGGTCAGCGAGTCGTGTGCATCCAACATCACTATGGAGGTCCATTGCTTGTTGACTTTCTGAAACACGGCGCCACAATGCACAGCGGTACATAGAAACTTTGCAAAAATTGAAACCACTCCAAACACCCAGAAATGTTGACATCATTCTGTTGCAGGATAATGCTCATCCACACGTTACCAAGGTTGTTTTGACTATTCTGCTGAACTTCTGCAGTGTAGTCCATACACATCCCCTGTACAGTCCCGATTTCCATATTTTTGGAGCCCCGAAGAAAGACATTCGTGGCCATCAATTTGCTTCAGACAAAAAGGTGCATGCCTGGATACAATCATGGTTCCGTAGGCAACTGCAAACATTTTTCTATGAAGGCATTGACCGTTTTGTCTTACAGTGGGATAAATGTACAGTATTAACAGTTATGGCAATTACTTTCGAAATAATAAACAGTTTACTTACTTTTTTCCCATCTGTCTTGTTTTCATTTGACTGCCCCTAATATAATATGAAATTTTACTTAGGAAACAAATTACATACTTGGGAGATACTTTATTAACAACAAAAATTGATCATATTACAAACACAGGGTTACCAGAAAGTCAAGAAATTACATAAAAATTTTAAATTATTATTTTTCATTTGTTTTATTTTAATACCGAGAGTATTATTATATTAAGAAAGTGATAATTATTTCGAAAACAGTTAAATTATGAAAACTAATATTTAAATGTGATGTACAGTAACAACACATATTTGAAATCAATTATTTTAATGAATATTACTATGACCAAAAAAAATTCACTAGCCAGATAGCCAATTTTTTAATATTGAAAAGCTTTCAAATATTAAAAAAATTGAAAGCTTTTTCTCTATTATAATCTGAATTACAGTATATTTTACTGAATTTGCATAATTACACAAGTTAAGCAAGCTGTATTTTAATATATATAAATAAATAAAATGAAAAGAAATTGACCATAATTATTATAATTTTCACATTGAAATAAATGCATACAAAGGTTTTAAAAATATGACCTCTAGTTTCTTAATTCATTTTATTCAGCACTATATACAGTATATTTATTGACTTTTAATTAAATTTCTTATGACTGCTGTTAATATGTAAATATTATAAGGTCTCTGTAAGTCCGCATGAAAAATATTTTTCGTGTGGACTTACAGAGACCTTATAATATTTATATATTTATTGACCTTTAAAACAAAATCACTTGATTTTGTTTAAATTTCTAAATCATCATTTTCAATTGGCTTCTTTTTAGTTAATGATTCTAATAAAGATATTAAATTTTTTATTTATGTCTATAAATTTTTTGATGAAGAACTTTTTATCTTTCTCCTATACTTTTTTTTATTCAAATCATTTGCTCTCTAACTTTTTCTAAAGTTTCTCAGTTTGTGAATAGTTTAGAATAGATCTCTAGTTTGTGAATAGAGTGAGATTATGAAGCTAGTAATGAAGTAATCTCAATTTTTAGTGAGCTTCATTACTAGCTTCAGTTTCTTGTCTATTTCAGTGCTCAACAATATGTGGCAATTAAGAGGAGATTTTCTTTATGTACCTGCAAATATATTCACAAATTTAACCCTAACAACTTTCTGGATAAATACATTTATTTATTTGACAAATCTCTAATAATTTGTTATATTTATTGTGGTGCATCTTTACTGCAAATAAGAAATTAAATAATTTTAATATTGGTAAATATGATACAATTAAAATTATAAAATACTCAAGGTTTGCAGATAAGATGGGAATGAACTAAAAATATTAGATACAGCATTTTCTCTTAATCTTACACAGATTACTGATGTTCTATCAATCTGATTGTCACTAAAATGAGCAGAACAATGTTTTGAGCATTTGCTAGGTGTCCAATTTTCTCTACTGATTGCTTTAATCCATAACAATCTTTGTACTTCATTGTGTAGAAGGCTAACAAAATTATCATTTATATTAGTCTATAAATCTGTTAATACCTTAGTAAATATTTTCTATAAGTCTCTATCATTCATATTTTACTGATAAAATTCAGTGGAAATGTATGAGTAAGTATATAATAGGAATATAGTGTACTCATGAAGTGTATAATAGGAACATATAAAAAATATTAAAATTTTTTAAAAAGATTCCTGTTAAATAAAGTGTCTAATTAATTTAATTATTTGCAATTAGAACGAAAAATTAACATTTATCAAATGAGCACGTGTTGCAATAACATTAAAAACGTCTGTTTAAAAATTTAAAATAAAACATCGAATTCATTAGCTCCATGTTAGAATTTTATAGCAGTTTTCTAATAACAACGGTAATTTTCTGACTTCGTAACTTTGCGTCAAAGAACTTAACACTGGAATTTGTTGGTGAACGTGTAGATTTTCGTCAGATAAATAACAGTGTCGAGTGTTCGCATAATCATGTAAATGAAAATGAATCTTATTGCTCCACAGAATTTGTATGAACTACAGGTAACCCCCGTATAACACGGGAGTTACTTTCCAAAAAATTGCCGTGTTATGCGAATCCGTGTTATATGAAACAAAGAACTAGCGCGAAAAGGGGGTTAGGTTCCAAAAATTAAAAAACATGTTGTTAAATCCTTATTTAAATCGGATTTATTATTCATTTTTTTCATAGGTAAAATATTGATTTATTATTTAAGTAAATATTTTACCAGAGTATTATTTATTTTATATGATGATCTCAGCTGAGCATCATCAACTGGTAACAGTTTGTGGGTGCGTTCGTTAATAGCGGTCGCTCTGCAATGGGAGTACGCTGCTGTTTGTAGGCATTTAAGAACGACGGTGAAAGAAAGATGGCGGCACCCGCACTATCGATAGTATCGTGTGGAGAAATCTATAATTCTAAAATGAGCTTTTAGAGGTAAAAGAAGAGTCCCAATTGTAAAATTTAACCATTAAATGGATTATTTGTTGAAAGAGCATTCAAAGTAGCCACGAAAACAATTAGAATGCTCGCGCGGAGTTACGCGGAGATATAAAAAAGAACGCACCCTTTATTACATTTTATGTTGTACGAGGGTTTTACCCAATTCCCGAACCGTGTTAGAGTGAATCCGTGCTATAGAAGTGCCGTGTTATACGGGGGTTACCTGTATGCATTATCAACCATCATCCGAGTTATGAATGTCGTGACAAATTTTTTCCGCTTATCATTATCACCAAAAACCAAATCGTGACTACGGGATATGCTATATAGGTAAGGTGACCAGACGTCCCGCTTTTTAACAATTTGTCCCGCATCCCGCGGCGTTTTAAAAAAGTCCCGAGTTTTGGAAAGATTAAGCTTTGTCAATTATGTGTCAAAAACTTATATCTTACGTTTAAGCTTCGTAAAGATAATTTTGTATCAAACGTATCAGTACCAAGGTGTGCGTAAGCATCGAAAATAAAGAATGTTGCGCCGACAAAACCCTTTGTATTCGTGGCAAAGGCCGACAGAGAATAGTTTGCGGCGTGCAGCTGCAGCAACGGAGCAGCGCGTGTTCACAGGCTGTCCAAACAAGCGAACATTTTGTTCGTTGCATGTTACATGAACGTGTTTTTTTCTACCGTAAATAAAGTGTGGACATCTAATAAATCACAATTAAATGTTGAGACTTTGAAAGCCATATGTGTGAAATATAATTTAACAAATTCTTGCGAAAAATTTCATGACATTTTATACAACGACAGCAATCTACTAAAAAATTCACTCAACTGACTTGTGAGAAATATGCGAAAGAATAAAGAGATTTTAAAGATTTATAATAGTATATATATGACGGCCGGATGAGGGACCCGGGAACGAATCCGGACGGGTTAAGGAATCCCCAGGAATTTTTCGGGGGATGGTCCGTTCGGATATGTCGGGCCCCGTCCCTCACCACCCGGTCTCCCCATTGTGGACCTGGCTGAACCCATAATGGGCCTGCTATAAGAGGCCCTCTTAGTGCCCACAGGGCGGAAAGAGTAAAATATATATATATAATTTACAAATATATATACTATATTGAAATAAAAATATATATATAATACAATATAATTTTGCGTTCTTTGATGATAAAATTTTGTTGCTCTAGAACAATTTTTTTCAACAAGACAACCCCCCAGTCAATTTTGTCCCGCTTCACTTATCTTAAAATCTGGTCACCTCATATATAGATAGATAAAAATACAAGATTTTTCGCAGAACTTTCCACATTGTCGTATATGGAATGTCAAATTGCCGTGATATTGCACGTGTACTATTACTGTAGTAAGGATTTTCTATTCTCTGTTCCACTACTGCAGTAGCAACATCTCCCGTTTTCAGATATCTAATCGACTTGCGACTCCATTTTGGTTTTATAGCACAAGTTCCAGTCTCCTCAAAACTCAAAATCATTTTCCTAAAATTCGCCATAGTAAGAAAACCTCTTCCTTTAAGTAGACTACTTGAATTACCTTTAAATATTGAAATTTTTTAAGCGCCGAGTTGGCATTGCTGTTTCGGTGATAAAAAATTTTAATTAATAACAAGTAATGCAAAGTACTGGGACGGCCGAGGCAGTTATGGCATCATCCTATTGCTTTGGGAAACCCGGATCAAATCGGGATGTCGGAAACCAGAAATATTGTGGGAGTGGTCAGTGCTGGATATGTCTGACCCCGTCCATCACTACTCAGTTACTCCAATTGTGGGCCTAACCGAATTTATGTTGAGTGTGATTTAAAGGCTCTCTAAGTTCGGAAGGGCCAAAATCCGAGGAATTTTTCGGGGGTAATCTGACCTGATACTCCATCTAGTCGTCCCATTGTGGACCCCAATTCTAGATTATTTTTGCCCCGTGGGTACTAAGACAACCATTTATTAGAATCAAGTCCCTCATAGGTTCGGCCAATCACACAATGTGCGACCGGAAACCCGACATATCCAGGGGGCAAACCATCCCAAAAAATTCCTAAGGTTTTTTGACACTTTTCTATCCCGAGTCCACTAAAATGGTAGATTTTGATGGCCGAGCGGTCAAGGTGGCAGCCTACAACTGTGGGGGACCCGGGATCGATCCGGACGGTCGAAAAATTCCAGGAATTTTTCGGGGGTGGTCTGACCGGATATGTCGACCCTCGTCCGTCACTACCCGGCCGCCCCATTGTAGGCCTGGCCGAACCCATAATGGGTTTACGATAAGAAGCCCTCTTAGTGCTCACAGGGAGGAAAGAGTTAAAATAAAAATAAAAAAAAACTAAAGCGGTAGACTACACTTTATCCACTAGGCTATCCAAAGAGTTAAAAAAAAAAAATATATATATATATATTTCTTCGGCTCTAGGAGTATTGATTTACTTACTCTTACGCCAAGTTAGAGATGATTTACTTACTCTTACGCCAAGTTAGAGATGAATTTAACCATAGTTTTTCTTCTAGCTATATAATTTTATTGTTAAATTCGGGTGAAAGAGACGTAGTTTGGTAGCTGAATTTTTTCATCTATTATAAAAACTATCCCATCTCGATAAAAAGGACTTTGAGAATATCGGAGTTAAAATTTTTAATAATCGCCTATAGAAAATGTGAAACGAGGGAATAAAAAGTTATAAAAAGGCTCAGTTCTGTTTCCGATCAATTCCGGAGTCGTTTCAAGTCTCTAGTGGCAGTTTTCGAAGTCAAAACGATGACTCGACTATATATAGTGATAAATGATCGTTCGAACTTGCTCTAGTCAACATGGAAAACGTGATGTAGCTGATACAGCTTTTGCATGAAAGGACACCGTAAAGCTAAAGTGGGTCTATTTGCTGCGACTGTACATGTTGGCGCGGACAACCATAAACCTTACGATTGTGTCACTTGTCTTGCGTTTTTACTGCTGTTCTCTAACTGGCTTTCGTCGTAAAAATGCTCGAGTGTGAAACACATGGTGACCGAGAGATTCATCTCTCTGGAGGATCCTAATTCATCGCGGTCCACACATAAACATGATAAAAGTGAGACAGTTTCTCGATATCAGGCGATTACCTATACTTTATAATACTAAAAACCCCTTTCTGGCATCGAACCTTTCGTAAATAGTTATAAATCTGCTTTTAGTTCTTTATAACTTAAAAAAAAATTATACATANTGTTTTATAGTTTATAATAAAATAAATGACGAAAAAGAGTGTTATTGTTTATGTGCAACCTCCTTTCTGCCACAAAAAGTCGATTTACCGAAAAATTACCGAAATCTACCGAAAATTGCCTAAGGAATCTACCGATGGCAAGCAAATCGGCGTGGCAACACTGGTAGAGGGAGCGCGTCATTCAAATCTTACGTTTAACGTTCGTTTGGTATAAATTGTAGTTTTAAAAGTATATAAACAAAAAGAAAAATGTAAGTTTAAATATGATTTTCTATTAATATTTTAATTATTTTACTTAAAAAAATCGTTTTTTTTTTATTAAAGAATGCAAATAAGTTATTTAACTGATTTAAGTTGAATTTTATTTGATACGAATTTGGTTAGGTTAGAATAAATTAAATATGTTTGAATTGTCTTATTGAATTATGCAAAACTATATTTGAAATATATATATAATTATAGATTTTAGTAGAATAATAAAGCATTTCATACTTTAATTATTATAAATTTCAAGTTTTTTTAATTGTATTTTTATTGCTATTTAAGAAGTGTGATTTGGATCAAAGCTTTATTTTTGCATTTGTCATTCATGCTGACTGTTTCCAATAGGAACCAGGCATGCTTAGTTGATAAAATTCATTTCAGTTCTGATATATACTAAATAAGATTTTATTCCTATCAAAGATCATTGGTTTTTTTGCAAGAGCTGTTTTATATATATATGAAGATTCATTAATTCTAATTTTATATCCATATATATATATATATATGCAGCCAAGCAGTAAGGGATGAGAACCAACATATCCAGGAAAATCTTGGGGTTTTTTGACTGACCTATTTCAATTTGTTCCTGGGTTCCCATAATATATGCTGACACCTTACCCCTTAATCACTTGGATTCATTAATTCTAATTTTATATCCATATATGTATATATATATATATATATATATATACATATATGGATATAAAATTAGAATTAATGAATCCAAGTGATTAAGGGGTAAGGTGTCAGCATATATTATGGGAACCCAGGAACAAATTGAAATAGGTCAGTCAAAAAACCCCAAGATTTTCATGGATATGTTGGTGCTCATCCCTTACTGCTTGGTTGCACCACTGTGGGCATGGCTGAACCCACAATGGGCTGATAAAAGTCTTCTTTGTGCCCCAGAACAGAAAGAAAAGTTCCCTAATTAGATATTGTTTCCAAAATTCGTATATCCTTTCCAACAGTTCAAATACAACCAAAAAAAGGTCTTGTTACTTAACCTAGCATTGACAAGATGGACTTTTGTAATGTTAATGTTGTTGTTGGTTAAGTTATGGCAATGCAACACTTGGGTGATCTGCCTAGGGGATGCCTTCCGGGAGGTCTTTTTAAGGGAAACTGGCCCCTATTTAAGCATTTCAGACGTGGAGAAAACCCAGAAAACTCCACATGGCCAGCCCATCCGAGCGAGGCGCGAACCTGCTACCTAACTCCCAGTGTTCAGGGTACGAAAACTGTTTGAGCACTGTAACGTTAGTGACAAGGTGGGGTGTAACAAACCCCATTCAAAATAATGTTTCTATTAAAACATAAATGTTTTTTATAGTTTAAAGTAATTTATGATATTTTCAGTATGTATAAATTGCAAAAAAATATATGACAAGACATTAGTTAAATAATCGTAGTTGTAAGATAAATATGATTGTGGTACATATATAAATATAAAATTACAAGTTGAATTGTTTAAATAATGTTATCCACAATTGCTGGATTTCTATGGTAGGTGCATTGCATGGTGGTATTGCAGATATATAGAGGTTCTCCCATATAAATAACTCCCTTCAATCATAGAACTTGTTAAGTAATTTGGTGTGTGCACCCAAAGTGGTAGATAACCTTGGTCTAGTATCCTTTTAGATAACTCAGTTGCTAGTCTGTTGTTTTTAATATCATCATGATGTTTCAGGATATGGGACTACAGCATTCTAGTAGTAGTCCAATGTAAATAATTTTCTCCTGAGAGTACGTATTGTAACGGAATTTTGTAGACTTACAATTCTTCATTTAATGTGAGCTTGTCTCTATCATTTCATAATGTTCTTCATAGTGTAGGTTGGGGCTATAGGTAAAGTAAAGCCATGTTTTCTAAAAAGACATGCTACTCTCAGTGATATAGGGCCTAAATACAGTATTGGGGTTGTACTACTATTATTTCATCCTTAGTGCAGAGGAACATCTGTGGAAACAACTTGTTCTTGACCCAGTTACAGAGATAACAAAACCTGGAAGGAGAATAACCAGCATTGTTCACCATCCTATTGAAAAGTTGTAATTCATTGTTTACTAATGTCTGGGTGGATGGAAGGAGTGCTCTGCGAATAAAAAGAAGTAATTGCAGAATTTACTTAGTGATAAGGCTATGAACTCTGATATATTTTTAATTTTATAGAGATGGTTTAAAGTCATTGTAGATATCAATGATTTTTAGCAGAGATAAAATATTGCTATATATCTTTAATATGCATTCATTTTAACATTTTAATTTAATTTCATTTTGTTCTGTATTCTATTCACATGCCTTAGATAACTTGAAAAAAGTCTGTTCAGATAACTGAAAGTTTGAAAATTATTTGTATTCGATTCTTTTTTGCCTGAGAATGGTGGCTGTAAGCTATCGAAAGTACTAGTGAGTACGTCTTAATTATGTTAATAAATCATGTTTGTAATGCCTCTACACTGTTGTGTTAATTATTTCATATTCTATCTCATAAATCTAGGAGACAAAATGCTAGTTGTATAAGTCCAAAACAATCCAATGAATTTAATCAATTTAGGACGTCCACAGTATTTATCATAAACACTATTTTAAATTTTATCCAAGTCGATTCATTAGTCATGAGGGTATTAAGGATCAAAGTTGGCACTTTAACGTTACATGTGTGACAGAGCAAAACTGTAGAGCATTACCACATGTTATGATGAGCACCTTTAGTCCTCTCTTTTCAAAAAGAAAACTCTACATTTTAAACATGGTTTTAGAATATAATTTAATTTTTTGAACAAAATTACGACTTACTTAAGCCTGTAACCGATGCGAAATTGTAAAATATTAACACACAAACGTTTTCGGAACACCTTCCGTGTTCTTCCTCAGGTTTTTCAAACTGGATTTTTTTTTTATATTCTGGAACACCACTATGAAATTTTTTTTTTTTAAACGAATGATGATATTTCGAATGCTCAGTGTCCATTGCGCACGTGTTGTACACGTTGTGTTCCCGGTTGTTCAGAGTCCCATTCAATCTTCTAATCATTATGTAATTTCTCTCGCTATTCATACGATGTAGTATTCTAGCCTTCAACGTCATGTGTCCCCCCGCATCATCCGGTGTTAAATCAATCTTTACGAATCATTATGCAANTTGTACACGTTGTGTTCCCGGTTGTTCAGAGTCCCATTCAATCTTCTAATCATTATGTAATTTCTCTCGCTATTCATACGATGTAGTATTCTAGCCTTCAACGTCATGTGTCCCCCCGCATCATCCGGTGTTAAATCAATCTTTACGAATCATTATGCAAAACGGCCTGCCAAGCATACGAAAGAGCCATCTACTCCCGTGTATTAATGCACTCCGATGAAGTGTGCGCCTTAAATATCTCCACAGCCTCTAGCCATTTGAGGTGGTCCATCTGTGTCGTTTTAACTATTAACGTTGCCCCTGCGAAGTCAACTGTAATATCCTTCCAAGATTCATGCAGTACATCATGCTATACAGAAGATACGTAGATGACGTTATTGTTGTATGGAAAACATCCCCAAACTTGGCACGATTTGTGGAAGCTATGAACGATAATCCATATGGGCTAACACTTGAGGTGGATCAACACAGCAACACTAATGTCCACTTCTTAGATATAAATATCAAGATTCAAGGACCCAACATTCACACTTCAGTCTATTCTCATTCATCTACACAAGAGGCACTTAACGAAGAGTTAACATGCATTGAGAAGATCGCTGTTATGCATGGCTACCGCAATCTTGTTCCGAGAATCGTAGAACGCCATGAAAGAGCACTAATGTCACACAACACCTCTAGGACGACATTAAGAGACAACCACAGCATTGAGGTGGAAAGAATTACATTCAACCCTATCTTGAGATCGGTACACACAGCTATAGCCAAAAGACGTAATGTCTACATTGCTTACAAGAGAGGCTCAACTATGTTTGACATACTACGTAATGGGAAGGACCCGTCTGACCCGATAAAATTGCCGGGAATATATCGGATCCCTGTTAGGGATGAAAGATTCGACAGAGATTTAGTTTACATAGGGTCTATGAAACGCTCGATGGGGGTAAGAATGAGTGAACACAAAGCAGACATACGTCACAACAGAGCCACCATGTCACTGTCGGTGTATGCTTCTGACCCGGATATTACAGTTGACTTCGCAGGGGCAACGTTAATAGTTAAAATGACACAGATGGACCACCTCAAATGGCTAGAGGCGGTGGAGATATTTAAGGCGCACACTTCATCGGAGTGCATTAATACACGGGAGGAGATGGCTCTTTCGTACGCTTGGCAGGCCGTTTTGCATAATGATTCGTAAAGATTGATTTAACACCGGATGATGCGGGGGGACACATGACGTTGAAGGCTAGAATACTACATCGTATGAATAACGAGAGAAATTACATAATGATTAGAAGATTGAATGGGACTCTGAACAACCGGGAACACAACGTGTACAATGCATGCGCAATGGACACTGAGCATTCGAAATATCATCATTCGTTTAAAAAAAAAAAATTTCATAGTGGTGTTCCAGAATATAAAAAAAAAATCCAGTTTGAAAAACCTGAGGAAGAACACGGAAGGTGTTCCGAAAACGTTTGTGTGTTAATATTTTACAATTTTGCATCGGTTACAGGCTTAAGTAAGTCGTAATTTTGTTTATACAACCCGGTGTGCTTGTAGGAGTTATTTATTAATTTTTTGTTTTTACATTTTTACAATTTGCATAGCTCTAGCTTTACATGAGGTAAAGAAGTCATATATCAGTGTGAGGACCCAAACAGGGTCCGAAAGAAGGCAATTAATGACTTTTTGAATGAGTCAAGTTTTGTAGCATGAAAGAGCGAACTTAAAGATCGGATTTAAACAATGAACCTTTTGTCTTGTTAAAAGATTTTAAACAATAGATAGAGTAAAGTCGAGGAAAACGAGGTTGGAGAGGAGTCGTGTTC